ATTTAAAAGGAGAAACTTTTGTTTTTCTTTTTGGGCCAACCCACCTCGGTGGGATACAGCTCGTTTGTTGAAAGAGGTACAGTAGACCCTCAGTTAATGATGCCATAGGACAGTGATAAAATTGGATACCGATACGTTTTTGCATCAAAATATTGGCTAGGCTAACGATAAAAAACTCAGTTAAGGACATTCATCCAGAACGTGCCCGCGCGGTCTGAGCTGCCCGGGCCACCAGGCCACTCCCAGTGTGGCCAGTGTGCCACTGTTTACAAAGTCAGTGCGGACAATTCCACGCATATATGCGATACATTTTGTATTATTCCATTGTTTTTAGTGCTTCTAACTGCTAAATATGCCACTATGGGCCCAAAGAAAGCTTCTAGTGCCAGCCAGCCCTTTGGTAAAGGGCTGAGAGGGGAGAATGTGCCTTTTTCAGTGATTCTGCAATATGTACGATACTAAAGCAGCACGAGTCTATAAAAGCTATAGCGGCAGCCAGCAATAAAGTGTAGCATTAACAGTGTATCAAGTTAAGCGATTAATCGATAGAAAAAAGACAGCACGAATCTAACTCCTCCATTGTTGTTGGAGTTATGTAGGGTGACTGACAACACCGCCGTCTCTACCGCCTCTGCTGCCGCTTCCACCACCACCATGTACGGTTTATGCTCTCAGTGGCCCTTATACACCCAACAACAACAACACAGCAACACTCATGACATACTTAATAATGTATTTTATTCAATCTAGAGTGTATGTCATTTGTGCATTATGTTATTAATATTGTTTATTATGTCATATTAGATGAATTGTGCTAGATAAATAAGCCGTAGAGCTGATATTAGTGTCATATTGAAGGACTATCTTGTGTCTCCCAACGCAATTCCTGACATACGCCAGACACATACCTCTATGGAAAACTTTTTTGAGCGACAGGGGTCCAGTGGCTCTCAAGATAGTCCTAGTGACATTAAAAAACAAAGGAGGGAAGTAACCCAGGATAAAGACTTGGTACCTGAAGTCCTCATGGAGTGTGATTACCCTTCCAAACAATTGTAAACTTCTCCATCCTCTCCCCTCCTCCCGTCTTCCATACATCACCAAGTCTTCAATAAAGGTAAGTGTGATGTTATTATTGTTTTATTCGTCATGTATCATTGTTTTCTGTGTAGGAAAATGTATATTTCATGTAAAAAAAATTATTTTGTTTAATACTTTTGGGTGTCTCAAACGGATTAATTGGATTTCCATTATTTCTTATGGGGAAAATTAATTCGGATAACGATAAAATCGGTTAAGGACAAGCTCTCTGGAACGGATTAATATCGCTAACTGGGGGTCCACTGTAGTAGTAATTTACTCCAAATACCAGGTAAAGTGAATGGTAGGGTTATTATTGAAAGAATTAGAGGTAAGACAGAGAGCAGGATTGCAGATGAACAAGGAGCCTTTAGAATGGATATGGGATGTATCGATCAAGTGTTTACATTGAAGCATATATGTAAACACTATTTAGATAAATGTAAGGAAGTTTTCTTTGCATTTATGGATTTGGAAAAGGCATATGATAGGGTGGATAGGAAAGTAATGTGGCAGATGTTGCAAGTGTATGAAATAGGTAGTTACTACATGCTGTAAAGAGTTTTATGAGGATAGTGAGGCTCAGGTTAGGGTGTGTAGGAGAGAAAGGGAGACTACTTTCCAGTAAAAGCAGGCCTTAGACAGGGATGTGTAATGTCACCATGGTTGGTTAACATATTTATAGATAGAGTTGTAAAAGATGTTAATAAAGGGTGCAGGGGAGAGGGGTGGGATTAAATTATGGGGAATCAAATACAAAATAGGAGTTGTCACAGTTACTTTTTGCTGATGATAATGTGCTTTTGGGTGATTCTAAAGACACGTTGCAAAGGTTAGTGGATGGGTTTGGGAAAGTGTGTAAGAAAGTTGAAAGTGAATATAGATAAAAGTAAGGTGATAAGGGTATCCAATGAGTTCGGTAAAGAAAAACTAGATACTGTACTACATTGGAGGGAGTATGGAAGTGAATGTGTTCAGATATTTAGGAGTAGCTTTGTCAGCGGATGAGTTTATGAAGGATGAGGTTAACCACAGAGTGATGAAGGAAAAAAGGCGAGTGGTGCGTTGAGGTATCTATAGAGACAAAAAACATTATCCATGGAGGCAAAGAAGGGAATGTACGAGAGTATAGTGGTACCAACACTCTTATATGGGTGTGAAGCATAGGTTGTGAATGCTGCAGCGAGGAGGAGGCTGGAGGCAGTGGAGATGTTGTGTCTAAGGGCAATGTGTGGTGTAAATATTATGCAGAGAATTTGTAGTGGAACAATTTGATCATGACATACATAGGAAAATTTTACAAAGCCCATATTGTGTTCAAGACTTACAATAACAATTTCAATTGAACTATATTTAAAGAAATACAGTGGACCCCCGCATAGCGACTTTAATCCGTGCAAGAGGGATCATTCTTATGCGAAATGATCGGTATGCGAATGAATTTTCCCCATAAGAAATAATGGAAATCAAATTAATCCGTGCAAGACACCCAAAAGTATGAAAAAAAAAAATTTTACCACATGAAATGTTAATTTTAATACACACAAACTGAAAAAGGCATGCACAATTACATGACACTTACTTTTATTGAAGATCTGGTGATGATTGATGGGATGGGAGGAGGGGAGAGAGAGTGTTAGTGTTTAGAAGGGGAATCCCCTTCCATTAAGACTTGAGGTGTCGAGTCCTTTTCTGGGGTTACTTCCCTTCTTCTTTTAATGCCACTAGGACCAGCTTCAGAGTCACTGGACTTCTTTCGCACTTCATATCTGTCCATAGTGGCCTGTACCTCTCGTTCCTTTATGACTTCCCTAAAGTGTTTCACAACATTGTCAGTGTACAGGTTGCCAACACGGCTTGCAATAGCTGTGTGAGGGGTGATTTTTCATCCATGAAGGTTTGCACTTCAAGCCACTTTGCACAGATTTCCTTAATCTTTGTAGTAGGCAACTTCTTCAATTTCTCTCTCCCCTCCTCTGAACCAGTTTCCTCAGGTCTGGCCTCTTGCTGTTGAAGTTGATCTATCAGCTCATCAGTGGTTAGTTCTTCATTGTCCTCCTCCACCAACTCTTCCACATCCTCCCCACTAACCTCCAACCCCAAGGACTTTCCCAATGCCACAATGGATTCCTCAACTGGCCTAATCCTCTCAGGGTTAGCCTCAAACCCTTCAAAATCCCTTTTGTCTACACATTCTGGCCACAGTTTCTTCCAAGCAGAGTTCAAGGTCTTCTTAGTCCACTCCCTCCCAACCCTTACCTATAAGGTTTACACAAATTGACGATATTAAAGTGCTCTCTTCCAAAACTCTCTTAGAGTCAGTCGAGTTTCTGAGGTTTACACAAAGCAAACCTTTTAAACAGAGCTTTTGTGTACAGTTTTTTGAAGTTTGCAATAACCTGCTGGTCCATGGGCTGCAGGAGAGGAGTGGTATTAGGAGGCAAAAACTTCACCTTAATGAATTTCATTCCCCATAAAGTCGCTCTGGCCACGTCTGTAGGATGACCAGGGCATTGTCTAACACCAGGAAGGGGACTTAAGTCTAATTTCTTTTCAGGTTAGGTTAATCTTTTCACATTGGGGGCAATGCATGGTGTAACCATCATAGAAAAAGTCCCTAGTGACCCCCTGCCTTACTGTTTGCCCTCCACAGCACACACAAATTTCCTTGGGACATTCTTTTGCCTGAACGGTCTGGGAGTCTCAGGTGATACACTAATAAAGGCTTCACTTTGCAATCACCAGTAGCATTGGAACACATCAACAAAGTAAGCCTGTCTTTCATAGGCTTATGTCCTGGGAGTGCCTTTTCCTCCTCAGTAATGTAGGTCCTGCATGGCATTTTCTTTTCCCAAAAAAGGCCTGTTTCATCACAATTAAACACTTGTTCAGGTTTCCCGTCCTTCACTGTCTATGTACTCCTTGAATTCCTGCAATATTTTCAGCTGCTTTTGTGGTCCCAACTGGCGCCTCACCATGCCCTTTTAAACTATGTATGCCACTACCTTTTAATAAATCTCTCAAACCAAACCCTTTGCTGGGCCCTTTAAAAACACTCACATCCACTTTGCAGGCATTTTTTTAATTTAAATCCTCATGAACTTCCTAGCCTTTTTGCTTATGACGTTGAGAGACGCTACTCCGGTAGTGTTTTTCATTATCCACACCAAAAGAGTCTCTCAACATTCCATCACTGCGATCTTGTTCGAAAACACAGTTAAACTTGGCAAGAAACAGCTTCCTTGATTGCCTTTCTGTTGCCAACAATAGTAGCGAGGGTTATTTGGGTTCTTGTACAACCTGGCCAGGTCGGGGGACACGCACTAAACTTTCATACTTATCAATGATCTCTTTTCATCTCTATAGTAATTCTACCCTTATTGTGTAGGGTGGCATAGAAGCTTTTGGGGCCCAGGGTCACTTATTTGGCAGATAAATCACCAAAAACACGAATAATACGAAATGTTCCGATTGTATGCTTGGATGTTACCGCGGAGGCTGGCTGGTAAACAATGCCACCGGCGGCAATGGAGGGGCAAGGGCGAAAATTGGAAGGTCTCACGAAGAGCGGTGAGCGGGTTTTTGAGGGGTATACGAGGAAAATTTTTGCGATAAAAGAGAGCGGTATGCGGATTGTACGTTATGTGATGGCGACGGTATGCGGGGGTCCACTGTATAGTAAAATTATTAAATAAATAAGCAAAAAAAAAATTCAATAAACATCATAAATAACAAATTTAAAGCATAAGGTAAATGCAGTACAGCACACAATTTTTTCCAAGAAAAGTGAAATATGTACAGTATTTTAAAATAATAATAGTGATTACAGTCCAGCTTTGAATATTTGTGTAAGCAATGTATTATGTTAAGCTCAAAGTAAATCATCTCCTTAAATAGTCATTACTGTGTACACTATTTACCTGGGGAGGATCCATAGAAATACATTTGAACTCGTCTACAAGAGTGAGCATGAAAAGATTGAAGGTTCCAGCACACACCCACTCCGACACTGTACTGGCAACGTGGAAACCCCAGCCTCCATCTTCAGGGTACCACTTTGTTGGATCATTACCTTTAAAATATAAGTACATATATTCAGCAATTTTTATTCATACCTAGCATTATAAGAACGGTGATACAAAGAATTTGAAATATCTACCCATTTTGAAAAATTATTAGAGACTTTGCAACAAAATCACTGACCAAAATAAAAGAACAGCTAAAAATCTAATAAACAATAATTACCACAAGACACAACAGCCATGAATACTTGAATCCTTTGCAAAGTACTACAACCATACAATTTCATAAATTAATCAAGAGGAAACTAAACAAACTAATTTTACTTAGAGCTAGAGGCAAATAATAATACATGCAATGCAATCAATGAATAATAAAACTGAGACATTATCTTTGTTTTTCATTTCTTGAATATATTACCATCAGCAGATCTCTAAAATCTCACCATTAAACTGAGCATGGGCAATGCTGGCACATACACAGCCTATAAAAAAGAACACTGCTGCCACCACTGCCAAGCCCAAACGTACATGGGCCATTGCTAGACTGTTGACAAGCGGGTGAGTCTGATACGAACACATTGCCTAAGGAAAGATGACAAAGTCTAAAAATTCAATTTAAAGTCATTTTTGGACACATCCTAAATATAATTTGCATACTTATTATTAAAACTAAGAAGCTATTTTTTTTTTTTTCAACAAGTCGGCCGTCTCCCACCGAGGCAGGGTGACCCAAAAAAGTAAGAAAATCCCCAAAAAGAAAATGCTTTCATCATCATTCAACACTTTCACCACACTCACACATAATCACTGTTTTTGCAGAGGTGCTCAGAATACAACAGTTTAGAAGCATAAACGTATAAAGATACACAACATATCCCTCCAAACTGCCAAAATCCCAAACCCCTCCTTTAAAGTGCAGGCACTGTACTTCCCATTTCCAGGACTCAAGTCCGACTATATGAAAATAACCGGTTTCCCTGAATCCCTTCACTAAATATTACCCTGCTCACACTCCAACAGATCGTCAGGTCCCAAGTACCATTCGTCTCCATTCACTCCTATCTAACACGCTCACGCACGCTTGCTGGAAGTCCAAGCCCCTTGCCCACAAAACCTCCTTTACCCCCTCTCTCCAACCCTTTCGAGGATGACCCCTACCTCGCCTTCCTTCCCCTATAGATTTATATGCTTTCTATGTCATTCTACTTTGATCCATTCTCTCTAAATGACCAAACCACCTCAACAACCCCTCTTCTGCCCTCTGACTAATACTTTTATTAACTCCACACCTTTTCCTAATTTCCACACTCCGAATTTTCTGCATAATATTTACACCACACATTGCCCTTAGACAGGACATCTCCACTGCCTCCAACCGTCTCCTTGCTGCTGCATTTACCACCCAAGATTCACACCTATATAAGAGTGTTGGTACTACTATACTTTCATACATTCCCTTCTTTGCCTCCATAGATAACATTTTTTGACTCCACATATACCTCAATGTACCACTCAACTTTTTTCCCTCATCAATTCTATGATTAACCTCATCCTTCATAAATCCATCTGCCGACACGTCAACTCCCAAGTATCTGAAAACATTCACTTCTTCCATACTCCTCCTCCCCAATTTGATATCCAATTTTTCTTTATCTAAATCATTTGATACCCTCATCACCTTACTCTTTTCTATGTTCACTTTCAACTTTCTATCTTTACACACATTCCCAAACTCATCCACTAACCTTTGCAATTTTTCTTTAGAATCTCCCATAAGCACAGTATCATCAGCAAAAAGTAACTGTGTTAATTCCCATTTTGAATTTGATTCCCCATAATTTAATCCCACCCCTCTCCCAAACACCCTAGCATTTACTTCTTTTACAACCCCATCTATAAATATATTAAACAACCATGGTGACATTACACATCCCTGTCTAAGACCTACTTTTACCGGGAAGTAGTCTCCCTCTCTTCTACACACCCTAACCTGAGCCTCACTATCCTCATAAAAACTCTTTACAGCATTTAGTAACTTAACACCTATTCCATATACTTGCAACATCTGCCACATTGCTCCCCTATATATATATATATATATATATATACACATATATTTTTTTTTTTAACAAATCGGCCGTCTCCCACTGAGGCAGGGTGACCCAAAAAGGAAGAAAATCCCCAAAAAGAAAATACTTTCATCATCATTCAACACTTTCACCTCACTCACACATAATCAATGTTTTTGCAGAGGTGCTCAGAATACAACAGTTCAGAAGCATACACATATAAAGATACACAACATATCCCTACAAACTGCCAATATCCCAAACCCCTCCTTTAAAGTGCAGGCATTGTACTTCCCATTTCCAGGCCTCAAGTCCGGCAATATAAAAATAACCGGTTTCCCCAAATCCTTTCACTAAATATTACCCTGCTCATACTCCAACAGCTCGTCGGGTCCCAAATACAATTCGTCTCCATTCACTCCTATCTAACACGCTCATGCACGCTTACTGGAAGTCCAAGCCCCTCGCCCACAAAACCTCCTTTACCCCCTCCCTCCAACCTTTTCGAGGACGACCCTACCCCGCCTTCCTTCCCCTACAGATTTATACACTCTCCATGTCATTCTACTTCAATCCATTCTCTCTAAATGACCAAACCACCTCAACAATCCCTCTTCAGCCCTCTGACTCCTTCTGACTCCACACCTTCTCCTAATTTCCACACACCAAATTTTCTGCATAATATTTACACCACACACACTGCCCTTAGACAGGACATCTCCAATGCCTCCAACCGCCTCCTCGCTGCAGCATTTACAACCCAAGCTTCACACCCATATAAAAGTATTGGTACTACTATATTTTCATACATTCCCTTCTTTGCCTCCATAGAGAACGTTTTTTTGTCTCCACATATACCTCAACACACCACTCGCCTTTTTTCCTTCATCAATTCTATGATTAACCTCATCCTTCATAAATCCATCTGCTGACACATCAACTCCCAAATACTATCTGAAAACATTCACTTTTTCCATATTCCTCCTCCCCAATTTGATATCCAATTTTTCTTTATCTAAATCATTTGATACCCTCATCACCTTACTTTTTTCTATGTTCACTTTCAACTTTCTACCTTTACATACACTCCCAAACTTGTCCACTAACCTCTGCAATTTTTCTTTAGAATCTCCCGTAAGTACAGTATCAGCAAAAAGTATCTGGTCAATTCCCATTTTGTATTTGATTCCCCATAATTTAATCCCACCCCTCTCCCGAACACCCTAGCATTTACTTCTTTTACAACCCCATCTATAAATATATTAACCTGTAAACGGTCCAAACATATATATACGTTTTTTCAACATTTGAAAGTACGTAAAAAAAGTAGATCATCTTTTTGTTTTTTTTACATTTGAAAATGTGTAAAAAAAACTTTGATCTACTTTTTTTTTTTTTGTTATATTTGAAAATATGTAAAAAAATGTAGATCTACTTTTGTAGCACTACACATGTGAACGTAGAAATGCTTGGACCGTTTACGGGTTAAACAACCCTTGTGACATTACACATCCCTGTCTAAGACCTACTTTTACCGGGAAGTAGTCTCCCTTTCTTCTACACACCCTAACCTGAGCCTCACTATCCTCATAAAAACTCTTTACAGCATTTAGTAACTTACCACCTATTTCATGTACTTGCAACATCTGCCACAATGCTCTAATATCCACTCTATCATATGCCTTTTCTAAATTCATAAATGAAATAAAAACTTCCCTACCTTTATCTAAATACTGTTCACATATATGCTTCAGTGTAAACACTTGATCTACACATCAACTACCCACTCTAAAACCTCCTTGCTCATCCGCAATCCTACATTCTGTCTTACCTCTAATTCTTTCAATAATAACCCTACCGTACACTTTTCCTGGTATACTCAGTAAATTTATTCCTCTATAATTTTTACAATCTCTTTTGTTCCCCTTCCCTTTATATAATGGAACTATACATGCTCTCTGCCAATCCCTAAGTACCTTCCCCTCTTTCATACATTTATTAAACAAAAATACCAACCACTCCAACATTATATCTCCCCCTGCTTCTAACATTTCTGTCATGATCCCGTCAGTTCCAGCTGCTTTACCCCCTTTCACTCTACGTAATGCCTCATGCACTTCCCCCACACTCACATCCTGCTCTTCTTCACTCCTAAAAGATGGTATACCTCTCTGGTCAGTGCATGAAATTACCACATCCCTTTCTTCGTCGACATTTAAAAGTTCCTCAAAATGTTCTCGCCATCTACCCAATACCTCCATTCCCCCATCTACTAACTCCCCTACTCTGTTTTTAACTGACAAATCCATACGTTCCCTAGGCTTTCTTAACTTGTTTAACTCACTCCAAAATTTTTTTCTTATTTTCATTAAAATTTCTTGACAGTGCCTCTCCCACTCTATCATCTGCTCTCCTTTTGCACTCTCTCACCACTCTCTTCACCTTTCTTTTACTCTCCATATACTCTGCTCTTCTTATAACACTTCTGCTTTGTAAAAACCTCTCATAAGCTACCTTTTTCTCTTTTATCACACTCTTTACTTCATCATTCCACCAATCACTCCTCTTTCCTCCTGCACCCACCCTCCTTATAACCACAAACTTCTGCCCCACATTCTAATACTGCATTTTTAAAAACTATTCCAACCCTCTTCACACCCCCCCCCCACTACTCATACTTGCACCAGCCCACCTTTCTGCCAATAGTTGCTTATATCTCACCCGAACTTCCTCCTCCCTTAGTTTATACACTTTCACCTCCCTCTTACTTGTTGTTGCCATTTTCCTCTTTTCCCATCTACCTCTTACTCTAACTGTAGCTACAACTAAATAATGATCCGATATATCAGTTGCCCCTCTATAAACGTGTACATCCTGGAGCCTACCTATCAACCTTTTATCCACCAATACATAATCTAACAAACTACTTTCATTACGTGCTATATCATACCTTGTATATTTATTTACCCTCTTTTTCATAAAATATGTACAGTGGACCCCCGCATAACGATTACCTCCGAATGCGACCAATTATGTAAGTGTATTTATGTAAGTGCATTTGTACGTGTATGTTTGGGGGTCTGAAATGGACTAATCTACTTCACAATATTCCTTATGGGAATAAATTCGGTCAGTACTGGCACCTGAACATACTTATGGAGTGAAAAAATATCGTTAACCGGGGGTCCACTGTATTACTTATTACCAAACCTCACCAAACCATACCCCCGGCCGGGATTGAACCCGCGGTCATAGAGTCTCAAAACTCCAGCCCGTCGCGTTAGCCACTAGACCAGCTAGCCACAATAAGATTCATCCAACTAGGTATATTTCTACACCATAGGAAGGTTAGCACAGGCACCTCTGTGACCACAAATGCCTGTGCTAACCTTCCTATGGTGTAGAAATATACCTAGTTGGATGAATCTTATTGTGGCTAGCTGGTCTAGTGGCTAACGCGACGGGCTGGAGTTTTGAGACTCTATGACCGCGGGTTCAATCCCGGCCGGGGGTATGGTTTGTTTGCAATCGTGTCATTACGATTTCTTGAGTCATACCAAACCTCTTTCTACACATAGCTCAATTAAAGGCTCCCCATTTTCATTTACTCCTGGCACCCCAAATTTACCTACTACTCCCTCCACAACATTTTTACCCACTTTAGCATTGAAATCCCCACCACAAGTACTCACACTTGGTTCAAAACTCCCCATGCATTCACTCAACATTTCCAAAAATCTCACTCTCTCCTCTACACTTCTCTCTTCTCCAGGTGCATATACGCTTACTATAACCCACTTTTCACATCCAACCTTTATTTTACTCCACATAATCCTTGAATTAATACATTTATAATCCCTCTTTTCCTGCCATAGCTTATCCTTCAACATTATTGCTACTCCTTCTTTAGCTCTAACTCTATTTAAAACCCCTGACCTAATCCCATTTATTCTTCTCCACTGAAACTCTCCCACCCCCTTCAGCTTTGTTTCACTTTAAGCCAAGACATCCAGCTTCTTCTCATTCATAACATGTTAAGAAGCTATATACATTATTATTATATCTAGTTTCTCAAATGCAGAAATATGCTTGATGTATGAAACATAAACTACAACTAACTCAAAAAAATAGCACTTTAAAACCTAAATTTCTGATATACTAACACTTTCAAGAGTTACTCCGAACAGGCTCATCTTTCAGAAGTCAGCACTTAAACAAATTTATCAGGCATATCTCATCTTAAGATACCAACACTTGTGCATTTTTTCAATTACTGTATACATATGTTGTTTACTTCTTTTCTAATAATTTTTCATGATATACATTTTTTTTTTAACACATCGGCTGTTTCCCACCGAGGAAGGGTGACCCGAAAAGAAAGAAAAATACTTTCAACATCATTCAACACTTCCACCATCACTCATACATAATCACTGTCTTTGCAGAGATGCTCAGATACTACAGTTTAGAAGTCCCTCCATACTGCCAATACCCCAAACCCCTCTTTTAAAGTGCAGGTATTGTACTTCCCATTTCCAGGACTCAAGTCCGGCTAACCGGTTTCAGTGAATCCCTTCACAAAATATTACCCTGCTCACACTGCAACAGCTCGTCAGGTCCCAAAAACTATTCGACTCCATTCACTCCTATCTAACAGGCTCATGCATGCTTGCTGGAAGTCCAAGCCCCTTGCCCACAAAACCTCCTTTACCCCTTCCCTCCAATCTTTTCGAGGACGACCCCTACCCTGCCTTCCTTCCCCTACAGATTTATATGCTCTCCAAGTCATTCTACTTTGTTCCATTCTTTCTAAATGACCAAACCATCTCAACAGCCCCTCTTCAGCCCTCTGACTAATACTTTTAGTAACTCCACACCTCTGACTAATACTTTTAGTAACTCCACACTCCAAATTCTCTGCATAATATTTACACCACACACTGCCCTTAGACAATATCTCCACTGCCTCCAGCCACCTCCTTGCTGCAGCATTTACAACCCAAGCTTCACACCCATATAAGAGCATATAAGTGTGTTGGTATCACTATACTTTTATACATTCCCTTCTATGCCTCCATGGGCAACGTTTTTTGTCTCCAGAGATACCTCAACGCACCACTCACTTTTTTCCTTCACCAATTCTATGGTTAACCTCATCTTTCATAATCCCATCTACTGACAAGTCAACTCCCAAATATCTGAAAACATTCACTTCTTCCATACTCCCTCTCTCCAATGTGATATTCAATTTTTCTTTATCTAAATCGTTTGATATCCTCATCACCTTACTATTATCTATATTCACTTTCAACTTTCTACCTTTACACACCCTCTAAAACTAATCCACTAACCTTCGCAACTTTTCTTTAGAATCTCCCAAAAGCACAGTATCATCAGCAAAAAGTAACTGTGTCAACTCCAATTTTGTATTTGATTCCCATAATTTAATCCCATCCCTCTCCCCTACACCCTAGCATTTACTTCTTTTACAGCCCCATCTATAAATATATTAAACAATCATGGTGACATTACACATTCCTGTCTAAGACCTACTTTTACTGGGAAGTAATCTCCCTCTCTCCTACACACCCTAACCTGAGCCTCACTATCCTCATAAATACTCTTTACAGCATTTAGCATTGGTATTAATGTTAATTTAATAGAGGAAAATGACTTATAAATATAATACTGTTCAAATTAGTGTCAATATGGTAGGGTGAATAGACTGGTGGGTTTTAATGAGCATGCTGTTGGAGTATAAGCAAGGTAACATTTACAAAGAGATTCAGGGAAACTGGTTAAATGGATCTGAGTCCTGGCTGGGCATTGCAGCAGAGGGTCATCTGAACTGTAATGTCAGCACCCTTCTAGCGAGACAAAAACAGAATGAATGATGGTGAATGCATTTCCTTTTTGGGGTCACCCTACCTTGGTGAGATAGCCAGTAAAGTTAAAACAGAAAAGAAAAAAGTGGTAAAGTAGGTCAATGTATCTCACAAAATCATAATGACATGATTGCAAACAAACCTCCCACCGAGGCAGGGTTTCCCGAAATAGAAGAAGCAAAAGTTTTTCTTCTTTTTACATTTAGCAATTTATACAGAAAAAGGGGTTACTAGCCCCTTGCTCCCAGGATTTTAGTCACCTCTTATTACAAGCATGGCTTACAAAAGGAGGATTCTCTTTCACTTCCCCATGGACAATACTTAGTTTACATTATATTAAAGGTATTCAGTAATTCAATAAAAAATTCCTATTAGAGATACATTAAGGACAAAGTTAGGTAGTGAACTGATACAAAAAGTGCAATCCCTTCTTTCACACACAACTGATACAAATAAATATCCAATTAAATTAATACTGTATTTAGCCTTATTTTCTAGTTATCTATTCTATCCTTGTAGTGTACCTTCTTTTTTACATAATTTGGAATGAATTTCTCCATGGGGAAGTGAAAAAGAATTCTTCCTCCATAAGTCATGCATGTTGTAAGAAGTGACTAAAATGCCAGGAGCAAGGAGATAAGTAACCCCTTCTCCTGTATAAATTGTTAAATTTAAAAGGATAAATTTTAATTTTTCTTTTTGTGTCACTCTGCCTCGGTGGGATATGGCTGGTGTGTTGAAAGAAAAAGAAAGGAATCAATTATGAACATCTGATACACAGTATTGTATCTGGTAAAGTCTCCACCACTACTTGCATCCAATCCCACAAAGCACTTGCACCACACAATTACAATTATATTCGTGGAAAATGATATATCCGTAAGTCATTCAGTGTCACATGCCAGAGGTGAAGGACATAGTAGAATGGGAGAGGTGGAAATGAGTGAAGGACACTGGTGGAAAGAATGGAAGGGAAGGAGTCACAAATGATAAGAGTAAATCAATGTCAGCTAAAAAATCAAGAGAGAATTTGCATTAAAGATGGGACCAGCATAGAGGAGGACAGATAAAAAATGTCAAATTGTTCAAATGGGAATTTGAAATGAAGTACTTATTTTCTCCGATGAACACAACAATCAATCAATCAATAGAGGTTAGTCTGACGAGTAACTAAGAACCCAGGACTGTAATGTTTCTAATAAAATATCCCAGTGTTTACATTTTGTCCATTTTTTTTTTTCTCCAATGAGATGTTGGACTGTCAGGATGACCTAATCCTTGCAGAGTGGCACCAGGTGCTCTTCCCTGAGAAAACCATGCAAATCTACTATAACCCCAAGATTCATTATGAAATACATTTTTGATAATTAGTTTTTAATCTATTCAAATTTTATTACACCTTTAACCCTTAAACGGTCCAAACATATACATACGTTCTTTCGCGTAGCACCCCAAACGTATATATACATTTCATTTGTCATTCATTTAACATTGTCACGATAGGCCTGAGTCGCCTAGACATGAGAGAATGGGTGTGAGCACTCAGTGTGCACCATATGAAAAAAATTGGGGACGCCTTGGTACCACGTGCTCTTTTTTCCTATAAAAAAAAAAAAAATTCTCAAAATATTCGGGGCGCTGTGTAGGTGAACGTATATATATGTTTGGACCGTTTAAGGGTTAAAAGTCCAGCAGACTGGCACTAGCTTAACAGCTGCTCTAGTTCATAATCACATATCAAATCAATGAATAGTCAAATCATCAACATTTTCCAAAGAAACTTGTTAGTTCCTTACCTGAACCCAAAGATATCCAGTACCAAGGCCAAATGCCATCAGGGCTCCAGTTATATGAACAAAGAACACATTGGTTTCTTGAAAGTTTGCAGCAATTGATATACCAAATGCTGCCAGAGAACCTATGAACAAACCCATTCGATTTAGCCTCACAATGTTGGAAGATGAAGAATGGTTACGATAAAGTTCAGCTATTTGTCGAAACCGAACGTAGATGGTAACAAGAACTGTAATAGAAAAAGAACCTATTAATTACATGCTTAAACATTTATACTGTGCAATCTCCCAAATACAGTGGACCCCCGGTTAACGATATTTTTTGACTCCAGAAGTATGTTCAGGTGCCAGTACTGACCGAATTTGTTCCCATAAGAAATATTGTGAAGTAGATTAGTCCACTTCAGACCCCCAAACATACACGTACAAACGCACTTACATAAATACACTTACATAATTGGTCACATTCGGAGGTAATCGTTATGCGGGGGTCCACTGTACTGTATTGTGATCTTAATCCTGTCACTGTCATGACCCCCAAAATTAAAAGAGCTAACAGTGTCACAATTTAAAAAAAAAAATAACAATTTTTCTTCTGAAATGGTAGAGAATTTTTTCTGAAGACAATGACACCAAAAATGCAAAATCTGATAGAAAACTTATGGAATTATATAAGCACAAAGTTGGCAGTCAGGTGCCAGCGTTAGCGATTTCACCCACTGAGTCCAAAGTCAAAGCTATTTTGCTAGTATGCCTCTCATTCTATCGACTGCATGCAAGAAACTGCCCATTCAACTATGTATCAGAACTGCCCTATAAAGTGCAAAAGGTTGGTATGTGGCCAATTTTACACAAAATTCAACAGATTCCAATTTAAAAACAGATTTCAATATAAAAATGCTGTAGGCATTCCAGATACTAAAATAACCTATCTTCTGTTCATTAATCACATTCTCAGACCTTTCATGTATAACACTTGCCCTTCATTTTGACCCTTTGACTGTTCTGGTCGTATACATACGTCTTACGAGCCAGTGTTTCGGACGTACGTATATACAGTGGACCCCCGGTTAACGATATTTTTTCATTCCAGAAGTATGTTCAGGTGCCAGTACTGACCGAATTTGTTCCCATAAGGAATATTAAGAAGTAGATTAGTCCATTTTACACCCCCAAACATACACGTACAAACCCACTTACATAAATACACTTACATAATTGGTCGCACTGGGAGATGATCATTAAGCGGGGGTCCACTGTATACTCAATAATTCTAGCGGCTTCAAATCAAGCAGGAGAAAGCTGGTAGGCCCAATATGTGACAGAATGGGGCTCTGTGGTCAGTGTGCAACACATAAAAACAATCCTGCAGCACGTAATGCATAATGAGAAAAAACTGACCATTTTTTTGGATTAAAACGCCGACTTTGAGGTGTATTTTTGTATAGCATTTATCATTGTATTCTCGTTTTCATTTTCTCATTTGACAGAATGGAAAACATATTGCAGAAATAGAGATGATTTTGATTAGTTTCATGATGAAAACGGCCTTGAAACTGAGCTCAAAGTAGCGGAAATGTTCGATTTTTACCAATGTTCAAGAGTGAGCATATCACACCACACATCCAATACACATCAATTGGGAAGTCTATTATTCTTTCACTAGTGCACTGATGTTATTTATACTATTTTTACAATAATGCAGTGGTCTGCATAAAAGTAAATTATGTATTTTTTGTATGAATACAAAATCAAAATAGAAAGCAATAGTAATATAAGAGGGGCCTAGAGACGTGACTAATGAACAGAGGATATGTTATTTTAGTGCCAAGAATGTCTACATTGTTTATTCTAGACCCTATTTTGAAGTTGGCCAAATTGCCAATTTCTGACTACTTTATTGGGTAGTTCAAATTGGTGAATGGGCAGTCTCTTGTACTCAACTGATAGAAAAAAATGGAGTTCTAAAGAAATAGCTATGAGTTTGGTCAACTGGAACAAGGGAATTGGCCAAAAACAGGGCTCAGAGTTGGCGAAATCGCCAATGCATATATGTCGCTGAGACCACTAACTTCGCGGGAGCGTAATTCCATGAGTTTTCGACCAAATTTCGTACTTTTGGTGTCATTACTATCAGGAAAAGATTCTCTATCATTTCATAAGAAAAAATTATTTATTTTTTCCAAAAATTTTGCAACATAGAATGACAGTTTCAGAAAGGGGCTTGCAACAGTCAAGGGTTAAATCAATCATCACACCAAAAAGAAATTGAAGTTTTGCCTTATTGTTGGATATAAAGCATAACCAAGGATTACTGGTCATGGATGATTAACCAGGGGAAAAGGAAAAGCACCCTTCCTCAAGAAAATCATCTAAAATTGAATATTTCTGTTACTTTGAGCCCTGTTTCAAACTACAGGGTTTTTCAAAACCATGGTCCCAATTTCAAAGCAGTATATTGTTGAAATTGGGTCAAAGATTTTGAAACACCCTGTACTTTTGGTCTTCAACACCAAGCAAAATCATCTTTATTTCATTAGTATTTCTTCCATTCTATCAACTGATACAAAGCAACAGCCAATAAATCCATAAAAATCAACCTAGAAAACACCTAAAAATTGTTATTTTAAACTAAACATAAGGTCAGAGGTTTGCTCTTTCTCCCATCATGCACTGCATGAGGCAGGATTTTTTAATACTGTGCACACTCACTGCACAGACCCATTCTCTAATGTCTTGACCAAAATTTACCACTCACGGTATATATGAGGGTGCTGTGCTTAAAATCCAGAACCATGTGAGCAATACTGGTGTCAACAATGTACAACTTTGAGGTAGACAGTGAAAAGGTTAATATGCTTTTACATATATTGTGTCAATTACCTGACTTTAAGATAGCATAAAAAAGCTTGTAAAACGCCAAAATATACAGCAATCAATTGTTCATAAAATACACTGAAAAATGAGGATACCCTTAATATTCAGAAAATGAGGCAAAATGCTTACAAGAAGTCAGAATGAAAGAGAAAGAAAACAATATATAATATGAAATTCTTGTTCATAAGAAACTGAAGCAGACAATCTTGAGGCAGACTTAGCAGTACTTGTGCATAAATAGAACCAATGCACATCTGATGATATAAGAATCCTTAAGTAAACATTCTTCCCATGGTAGAATTTTCACAGCCAGACTTAAAAACTAACTACTATCTTATGGTAACTAACTGGGATTTAAGACCAATCAATACATTATATTTAATATGTCTTCCACAGCTAGAAAAGCTAAATGACCATCTAATCTTCAACCTACTGTTTACTGTCCCATTTCCATAATAATTTAAGATAATGACTGAGAATCCAAATTTTTCATTAGGGGTTACAGATTTAAAAAGATCCAGTCTTTTTCATCAAGAACATTAACTTATCACACATGCCTAATCAACTACAGTATATATTTACAATGGAACTGATGCAAGTTACTGAAACCTGATAAGTGCTTTTCTGGGAGAAGTTAAACACATGGAGTTTGTTAGAAAAAACAGAACAACCAAAGGGCCAAGAAAATATGAGATGGTTTTGGACTTAAACTTGCATACAGTTAATGTCCAATACTGGTCAATATCTTTTCTTGTCTCAAGAAAAAGGCCTGTCCACAATGATAGTGCTCATCCCTCTATACACTGATGATTCCTATCTTCAAATTACAGGTGAGAAAAGTGACTATGACAAACTCCAATTTAAAGGCATCAAATGGCTGGGACAATGCATAGATATGCAGCAAGCAATTTCTATATTCTGTTGATGTACTTTTGAGAAATCTGTTAATGACAGAATCATCTCTGATCACATTCATATTTTTTTCCTGATTTTTTAAGCCACTTATCTTTATAAATATATTTCTACATCATTAATCATCCATTATCTGCCATGCACCTCACATTTTTATATATTATACCAAAACATTCTTTAACATATGAAGCTGGAAGTCATGAACCTGGTGCCTTAGTCTGGAAAATGGCAACATATTACTTTATACTGAACAGTACTTCATCACACAACAGTTTAAATAGTCAATGTTATAGCTAAAGCATTTACAGTGGACCCCCGGTTAACGATATTTTTTCACTCCAGAAGTATGTTCAGGTGCCAGTACTGACTGAATTTGTTCCCATAAGAAATATTGTGAAGTAGATTAGTCCATTTCAGACACCCAAACATACACATACAAATGCACTTACATAAATACACTTACATAATTGGTCGCATTCGGAGGTAATCGTTATGCGGGGGTCCACTGTATATATCAAGAGTCCTGAGTCCATTTAACCCCCTTCAGAGTCCAAGGCCAAAATCTGAAGTGGTGCCCCAGTGTCCAAGAATTTTCCAAAAAAAAGTCTGTTATTTTTTCTTATGAAATGGTAGAGAATCTTTTAGTGAAGGTAATAAAACAAAAAGTACGAAATTTGATGGAAAATTGACGAAATTATGCTCTCGTGAATTTTGATGTGTCAGCGATATTTACGAATCGGCGATTTTGCCGACTTTGACTCCCATTTTAGGCCAATTACATCATTCCAATCGACCAAATTCTTAGCTATTTCACTAGTATTACTTCTATTCTATCGATTGAGCACAAGAAATCGCCAAGTCAACTGTTTCAACTACAAAATAAAGTGATCGGAAATTGGTAATTTGGCCAATTTAACACAAAGTTCAAAATATTCCAATTTCAAAATAGCGTCCAGAATAAACAATGTAGGCATTCCTGGCACTAAACTAACATTTCCTCGGTTCATTAGTTACGTTTTGAGGCTTTACAAATAAATCCCATTTTAATTTTTTATTCACATAATGAATTTTTATTCACACCAAAAAATAGAAGATTTACTGTTATGCAATATTGTAATAATTGTATAAATATCATCACCACATTTGTGAATGTATATTAGACCCACCAGCTGGTGTGTATTAGACGTGTGAGGTCGTTTGTTTACTCTTGAACATCAGCAAAAATTTAACATTTCTGCTACTTTGAGCTCAGTTTCAAGCCATTTCCAGTGCTAAAACCAATCAAAATCATCTCTATTTCTGCAATATGTCTTCCATTCTATCAAATGAGACCAAGAAATTGCAAATACAGTGGACCCCCGGTTAACGATATTTTTTCACTCCATAAGTATGTTCAGGTGCCAGTACTGACTGAATTTATTCCCATAAGGAATATTGTGAA